ACTTAAGTTCCATTTGGCCCACAGGGTTCAAACTTCCTAGGATGATTGTCAATATTGGGTAGAAGACCCCTATTGATTTTGGGGTCACAAGGTCAATGGTCAAGGTCACAATTACCTTAAAACTGAACGGAGGAGTGCTCTTTGAAAAGTATACTTTTATTTGATTCCCAATGTCTTACAAATGCTTCATCCTTACTTAAAAAAATACTTTCGGGGGCATATAATGCTCCGCCTGGGTGCTCTTGAGTGATCACCATGTTTGCATTCTCTGTATTGGAAATCAGGGGAAAGTGTTTTTAGCTCATTTTTAGCCTTGTCTGTTTTGAAGAAAAAGCAGGCTTTATGATTGCTGCATTGTCGTTGCTGTTGTTGTCATGCAAAAAAAAATTTTTAAAAGTTACTAACAGGAAAACTTTGGATACTTGCTTATCATGACAAGGTGCGTTTCTAAGATAACTTAGATAAGGGACATTTACTCTGAAAGCTATATTTTTGGGTTATGCTAACTTTATTAACTTATTTTTTAATGCCTTTTAAGTAAGAATGTTTTGAAAACTACAAAGATATTAACATGAATACTTGGAATATTATTTATCTTGACAAAAACTCAGTTGTAAGACAGGGAGGCATAATTTTGAAAGCTATATTTTTAAAGTTTCTGTCCCTTTTAACAAAGATTTTTTCTGTGGTCAAAATTGGTTAAGGATAGTTATTATGCCTTTAACAGACGAGCATTAGCACTCTCATTATATTGTGGTGATTGGGCTAATATTTGGTTGCAGTTAAATATCTTGTTTTGACATTTTATTTTGTGCTTTTTTTGTCTGATGTACATTTTGTATTAAATTTCATTTTTACATGTATTGTGATAACGCTGTCACTTTAGTAATTTATTGGACATTCTTTCAAATAAAGATGCATTTTTCTTTTTTATCTATGTTAATTTTTCCTTTAATGTGTGTAATGAGCTTTTAATAAGCAGTATGGGTTTTGAACTTGGGTTATTGGCAAAAAAGTGTCAAGAAATTAACGCTGAAAAGAGAAAACCATGGTTTACTTAGTTATACCAGCTGTAAATTGATCGCTTACCAGTGGGAGTATAAATGGTTCCAGTTTGATGCTTAGTAGGTTACATCACATCTATGACAACATGATTATCATCATCAGTTTTTCAATAAAATTTATTTAAAGTTCAATTAATCTGTTGGAACTTTTAAACAAGAATTAACAGTATCATTTTATCATTGATCATATTTCCCGCCTGAGGGAGCTTTTTGAGGTTGTACCCTACTGGTTACGGGAGACAAAAAAATTATTAACACTTTTAAAAGGGACCATAATTTGGGCCCTGAAAACCTGTTTAATATTCGGGTAATTGGTATTTGGGGGTAATTTTTCATTTTTTGCAAACGGGATATAATTAAAAAAGGAAAAAAAAAATTTGGGAAAAAAACAACTTAAAAATTAATTTTTGATAAACTCTATAAAAACTATTAAGAGAAAATGCCGACGGTAAGCAAACAACTGATAATTCCCTGTAAATTTTGGATTAAATTTGCACCATAGATGGTTTGAAGAAGTAGTCCGGACAAGCTTTTTTTGTGACGGACAAGACAGACACAATAATAGGGATCTCTATTAAGTTGTTTGCTACTTCTTAGCATTGTCAGCTTCTGTGAGCTGGGCAAACAAAAATCATTTAAATCAGGCCAAAACAACCTGGTTTTAATTCAGAAAATCATTACTCAGTAAAAAATATTCAAGTCTGAAAACCCGTTGTAATATCTGCAAGATACTTTAGCTAACCGATCACATCCCTGTAAAGTTTTCATTAGATTGGCAAAATTGGCATTAAAGTGCATACATGGCCTTGTATATAAAAGAGAAAAATGACGAAAGGAAACCCCGGCCACTTTGGCATTCCTACAACAACATTACTTCTGACTTGAGTTAAGCTTTCTAATGACTCAGCTGGCAGATGTCCTGAAAAAGAGGGGGGAGGGGCGACACGGGAAAGACAGGGGCCCTGTAGCTGGCATATAATTAAGCCCTTTTCAGGGCTACCTCCTCCTTTTACATACTGGGGTTTCAGGTTACTGGGGGAACATTTAGGTTCTCATTGGGGAACCGCTTGGCAGGGACCCTACTTTGGGGAAAAATTTTTCATATCTTTGGGGGCTAATTTCCGGGAAAAATTGCAGGGGGAAATTTTAACAAAGGGGTGCCAAAAAAATTTTTAAAGGGCATAACGGGAGATTTTTGGGGTTCGCCCAAGACGGGCGAAACCCTTTTAAATTGCCGAAAAGGGGGGATGGATCCTCTTTAAGCTTTAGTTTACCGACCTTTATCCAACAACTTGAAATTTAATAAAATTTTTTTTCTTTTTAAATGGATAAGTTGTTCGTTTTGGCCAAAAAAATAGATAAAAATTATAGGGAAAAGTGTGTTTTCCCGGAATTTTAAAAAAGGGGTTCCCATAAATTATTAAAAACATTTTTCTTTTTTCCCCTTTAAATTTATTTTTGTTTATTTAGGGTGTTAAAATACGCCCGACCTTTCGAAAATTTTATTATAAAAAAGATTTTTTTAATGTACAGTTTTTGAAAAGGGAAAAAACTTAAAAACAATTTTCTGCATTTTTACTTATTGTTTAACTGTTTTCCCATAAATTTCTTCTGGGGAAATTCTTTTCAATTCCTTTTGTGTTTCCCCTGAAATTTTTTGGGGCCATTTTGAGCCTAAGAAAATTAAAATTAAATTAAAAAAGGTCGTAATTTTTACCCAGTTAATCCCCTCTTCTTTTATTATCCTTTAACGACAATTTTAAACGCATTATGAACAGTTTGGGAAAATGAACACGATCCTAAAGTTATTTTGGAAACCCACTTGAATGATAGTGAGGGGATAAGCCGAGGGCCCACTATATCAACTGCTTGGAAAAAAAAAAGGGGATCCCAGTAAATTTACAATTTTTAAATTTAAAAAACACTAAAAAAACGTTTTCTCCTCTTTTTTTCAAAGTTTGAAAACGGTATCAAAATCGGAAATTTTTTTAAAAGGAAACCATTTTCCCTTTGGGAAAGGAAAAAAAACCTTGTTTTTTTCCTAATTTTAAATTTTTTGTATACATTTCATTTCATATTAGAAAAAAGTGGGGGGTTGGGGATATGGGGCTCAAGTTTTTCTTCCTCTGTTTCATCTTTTCTGGGTCATGACCTTTGTTTTTTTTAAAGGGCGTTTTTTTAAACCCTAAATAAACCCTTAAAAATTAAAATAATCATAATCACAATAAATTTGGGGTTTAAATAAAAAATTTATTTTAGTTCGATTGTTTAAAAAACTATAAGCTTATTAAAACACTCTCGAACCCTTCCTTAAACCCAAACCATACTAAAAATAAAATGTAAAAGTTTTTTTTTAAAGGGAAAAAAAGGGTTTTCCCTCCGACGGGGTTTTGAACCCACGGGGTCAGCAATCCTTAGTTTACAAGCCTTTTAAAATTTAAAATTAGTCCGACGCGTTTAACCACTCGGCCACCCGGGCCACAATGAAGTTGAAACAAGAAGATCTTAAAAGATACTTGGGACTAAGTGCTTGCTTTTACTTGGCATAATGTTTTTACCCCCAATTTTGTTTTAATCTAGGCAGAATAGTTTCTAAAGGAAAATTGTCATATAATGTTGTGAAAAACCCTTATTGGGCCTTTAGGGTAAGCCAAAATGCGTTCGAGAAATCGTGAGCGTTAAATTAATGGTCAGTAACCCCGTTTGAACTTCTGTAAAATTTAAATGGGAAGAACTCGAATAAAGGAGGATTTTATTGGTCAAATTTTAAAATTGCAAACGAAAATTTCGAATTTCTATATTTTGGCCATTCTAAAAATTAGTAAATAATCTAGAAGGGATATTCTCCCAAAAAACTATACATGGTCCAAATTTTAAAATTTATAAAGGGAGTATCGGAAACACATTTTCTTCTTAAATTTCTCGGTGAACTTCCTCCAAACAAATATTTTACACTGCTTTTAAAAAATTTCATTAATTACCCGGTGAATATCTTATTCAACATAATTTACCGCGTTATAAATGACATTATAAAATGACGAGATGTTCAATTAAACGTCCGCAATCCAGGAAAAGCCTTGCAATTATGCATACCGAAAGAAATCCATGCAAGAAATTTCAAGTTTCCCTCTTTTTTCCGTCACGTATTGTTTTTTTAAAACAGATATTATAATGCAGCAAACAGTTCAGTTTCAAAATCCTCCAGTGCCCCTAACTGCCAAACACTCTATTGCTTGCCATACGAACATTTCTCCCGTTTTAGGAAATACGATTTTTTCAATGTTACTTATTCAAAAAATAAGGAAAATTTAAAATTTGGGAAAAATTAACTGAATTAATTGGGTTAAAAGAAAAATTTTTCCAATAAACAACATATTTAATTTCAAATCATTTTATGTTAATTACAACAAATCTAAAACTTTTTTCATTAGTCTCAATTCATATAATGTAGATCAGACACTCCTGAAAATAATTATGTCAGGAAACATCACAACAAAAATAACAAACTTTATTTTTATGATAAAAAATGACATTAAGCATTTTAAAAAAATTGTTAAAACAACGTCAAATTTTTCGGGGGTATCAATTTTTTGCTGCAAGTTGGCACATTTCATGAGTTGGTAGCCACGAGGAAATATAAAAATTTTCAAAAACACATGATAAAACCCTGTATTTAGGGGGGGAAAAATTTTTGTTTATTTAAAAATTTTTATTTTAACTACAAATTTTAAAAAAAAGCAAAACAAAAAAAACAAAAAAATGAAACACAATCAGAGTTTTTTATATGCCAATTTTTAAAAGGGGGAAAAAATTAATTATTGTATCCAAAATAAATTAATTTTTTGTGAAAATATGGAAAAGGGGCGAACATTTTAAAATTACTTCTCCCAATGTTTCACTTAAATTAGTGTGTAAAAAACGTCATTAAAAGAACCTTTAAAGTTTTTTGTCCTTTCCATTTTTTTTCAGTTTCCCGCTTGCTTTTTCCTCAACTGTAGCAATCTCTAGGCTTACATTAGGCAGCTGATATTTTTCATTTTCTTTGCTTTGACATTCTTTTCCTTTCCTGTCACATTCTTTGTCTCTATGCCTTAAGATGATGCATACTCCAAGGTTCAGCGTACCGCCAAGGTTAGTTATAGTCGTGTTGGCTATGATTAGGAACATGGGAACGTTCTTGTCAAAAAACAACCAAATGCTGAACACTGCGCATGCGAACCATTGAATGAAAAACGCCAAAACAAACAATGACATATTTCTCGCAGCATAACGGGACTTGTCTGTAACACTAGAAGTCTTTAATGACTCAGTTATTCCAGCAACATGTTCCTTTATCCTCTTCCATGTTAAGATATATAAGATGATGTTAGCAGAAATTATAATTAGTAGAGGGACGGTCGTAAACAGAATTTGTGTTATGCCGCCTTTGATTGGATCAAAACCACAGCTGTAATAATAAAAAACAATAAACAATGCTCTAACTGAATAAAAAAGAATAATACATAAATATGATATGGACTGTTAAACAATTGTATTTTGTGTTCTAAAATCAGTTACAAAACGCCCATTAAAAAATGAAAATAAATTACATGTCCATTTGGTCCCCAAGTTGGCTCCGACACGCCTATTTGGGCCAAAAAAGTATCCGAAAGCCCCAAACCCAAAAACTTCCAACCAGATCCAAAAATTTTTAAATTCTTTTGAATAATCATAATTTAAAACATTTATAACAATTTTTTCTAACAATCTGGGGGTTGGACAAATATCATCTGACCAAAAACTGTACAACTCGGCAAATTCTTTTGGGCGGGGGTGATCTTTTCCCAAAAAAGTAGTGTAAATGGTCTATTTCCCAAATAAGTTGAAGAAACCTCACTATTGCGGAACAAGAACGTTTT